CCCCCCCTGCCGCGCCGAGGGGAAGGTGAGAGCGCCCGACCCCCAGCTCCCTCGCCAGCGAAGGGTAACGCCGCAAGCAGAAACCCGGTTGGCACAGCCCACCTTCTAATTGTTCGTTATCCTTTACTTTTAAATAGGTTCTAATAACGAAAGCTGTTTAATCTTTGATCTCTTACCGTTTGTAGTAACGTTTAGGGTAAAGCAGTAGTAAAATCATTATGAAATACGATATGAAGGGGTTTGTTCCATTTCTTTTGGCTGTATGAAGGAGAATTTGTTCTGTCTACCGTACTTTTTGGAGTAATCTAATTGTTCGTTATCCTTTACTTTTAAATAGGTTCTAATAACGAAAGCTGTTTAATCTTTGATCTCTTACCGTTTGTAGTAACGTTTAGGGTAAAGCAGTAGTAAAATCATTATGAAATACGATATGAAGGGGTTTGTTCCATTTCTTTTGGCTGTATGAAGGAGAATTTGTTCTGTCTACCGTACTTTTTGGAGTAATAACAGCTTTTTTGCACTATGTAAATACTAGTGGGGATTCTTCCATAACTAATAAAAACGATTGTAGAAACTTGCGGCTCTCTGACAGCGATATGTTTGTTCACGGCTGCTTCATCCCGAGTCTGCGCTCGCAGACGCTGCCCTGGGCCCGGCAGGAGCGGGAGGGGGTCTGTGTTACGTGGATTTGGCTGCAGGGTGGAGAAGCCATGTCGGTGGCTCCTCGTCTCTGGCTGGCGGTCACCGCCAGTGCAGGGACCTGTCCCGTGTCACCTGGGCTGAATGGTCACTGGTGGAGAGGCTGATGGGGAAACCAGCGTTAGCTGAGAGTTTTTTCACATCGTGGAGGCCAGGTCCCTCTCGTCACGCGCCGCCTCGCTGGTGACGGGGAAAAATATTACCTAGGAAAACGCACCAGCCTTCGGAGACCAGACTCGGTCCAGAGTTTTGAGTTGGGAATAACATTTACTTACGAGTAAATGAGCAAGAGTAAGCGCAGGCCCTTCAGGAGCTAGGCTTCCTGCGTGCCTGGCGCGTGAGAGCTCGCGCTGACCCGCCCGCGTTACCCTGCTGCGCCAAGTCACCGCTGGAGAGCAACACCAGGTTCTCGGCCCCGTCCTCCAGTGACTCACTGGCAACTGCTCACGCTTCCACGGCCCTAACAACAGTGCCATTAACTGGTTTTGCAACTCCCACGGGTGAGAATATCTGTAGCAGTTCAAAAAGGATGCAGCTTCGTGCTGTAATTTTGAATTTTCTACTTACGTGCCCGAGTTGCGCCTTTCAGTTCCGCTTATGTGCCCGAGTTTCGCCTTTCAGTTCCGCTGTTGCCATTGTCTTCTGCCGAAAGCGCTCGTTACGTAAGTTGTCGGTGCCGTCGCCGCGAGGAGCGACGTTCCCATCCTGGTTTTCTCCGCGTCTTCTCCATCTGATAGGAATTTTGCAAAGCACAAAAAAGTAGGTGGCACCATGTGACTTGTGTGATGGAAGCGACAAGAAAATGCATTACCCCAAAGCCTTGTGTGCTGAATTTTCCTCCCTGCTTAACGCCCTCTACCCAGCGCCGAGTTCCTGCGAGGAACTCCCTTCCCTCTGCT